AACAGAACAGTCACCAGCAAAGTAATTTAATCAGTAATCAAAAATCTCCCACCAAACAAAAGTCCAGGATCAGATGGCTTCCAACGGGACCTGGACCAAACATTTAAGGAATTAATACCTATTCTTCTCAAACTGTTTCAAAAAATAAAAATGGAAGGAAAATTTACAAACTCATTCTATGAGGCCAGATTACCTTGCCTCCAAAACCAGAAGAAGACCCTATGAGAAAGGAGAATTACAGGCCAATATCCCTGATGTACACGGATGCAAAATTTCTCAACAAGATACTAGCAAATTGCACCCTACAGTACATTAAAAGAATTATTTGCCATGATCAAGTGAGGTTGATTCCTGGGCTGTAAGCGTGATTCAATATTCACAAATCAATCAGCACAATATACCATATTAATAAAAGAAAGGATAAAAACCATCTGATCTCATAGATGCAGAAAAAGCATTTGAAAAAGTCCAGCATGCATTTTTAATAAAAACCCTCAACAGAGTAGGGATAGAGGGAACATACTTCAACATTATAGAGGTCATATGCAAACGACCCTATATATGTAAGATCCACAGCCAGTAGCATCCTCAATGGGGAAAACAGAGCTTTTCCACTAAAGTCAGGAGTAAGACAGGGATGTCCACCTGCACCAATGTTATTTAACATAGTGCTGTCAGCAATCAGACAACAAAAGGAAATAAAAGACATCCAAATCGTCAAGGAAGAAGTCAAACTTTCAGTTTTCAAGACAACTTGATACTCTACATAGAAAATCCAAAAGACTCAACCAAAAAAATTGCTAGAATTGATACAGGAATTCAGTAAAGTCGCAGGATACAAAATCAGCATTCAGAACTCTGTTGCATTTCTATACACAATAATGAAGCAGCAGAAAGAGAAATCAAGGAATTGATTCCATTTACAAGTGCACCAAAAACATAAGATACCTAGCAATAAGCCTAACCAAACAAGTAAAAAGATCTATACTCTGAAAACTGCAGAACACTTGTGAAAGGAATTGAAGACGACACAGAGAAATGTAAAAACATTCTATGCTCATAAATTAGAAGAATAAATATTGTTAAAATGTCTATACCACCCAAAGCAATCTTCACATTAAATGCAATCCCTATCAATATAACACCAGCATTTTTTACAGATAGAAGTAACAATCCTAAAATTTGTATGGAAGAACAGAAGACCCCAAAAGTAGTATTGAAAAGGAAAGCAAAGTTTGAGGAATCATGATTCCAGACCTCAAGTTATAGTACAAAGCTGTGGTCATCAAGACAGTATGGTACTGGCACAAACAGAGACACATAGATCAATGGAACAGAATAGAAAACCGAGAAATGGATCCACAACTATATGGTCAACTAATCTTTGACAAAGCAGGAAAGAATATCCAATGGGGGCGGGGAGAAAGACAGTTTCTTCAACAAATGGTGCTGAGAAAACTGAACAGCAACATTCTGCAGCATGCAGAAGAATGTAACTGGACAACTTTATTACACCATACACAACAATAAATTCAAAATGAATGAAATACCTAAATATGAGAGAGGAAACCATCAAAATCCTAGAGTAGAACACAGGCAGAAATATCTTTGACCCCGGCCAAAGCAACTTCTTACTAGACACATCTCCACAGGCAAGAGAAACAAAAGCAAAAATGAACTATTGGAAATTCATCAAGATACTTCATCAAGATAAAACCAACCAACCAACCAACCAACCAACCAAACAAACAAAAACCTCCTGCACAGCAAAGGAAATAATAAACAAAACTAAAGGCAACCTATGGAATGGGAGAAGATATTTACAAATGACATATCCAAAAGGGTTAATATCCAAAATATATAAAAAAGTGATACAACTCAATACCCAATAAACAAATAATCCAGTAAAGAAATGGGCAGAGGACATGAGTAGACATTTTTCCAAAGAAGACATCTAGATGGCTAACAGATATATGAAAAGATGCTCAACATTGCTCATCATCAGGGAAATATAAATCAAAACCATGATGAGATACCACTTCACACCTGTCAGAATGGCTAGAATTAACACACAGGAAACAATAAGGGTTGACAAGGACGTGGAGAAAGGGGAAGCCTCTTAAACTGTTGATGGGAATGCAAACTGGGGCAGCCACTCTGGAAAACAGTATGGAGGTTCCTCAGAAAGTTAAAAGTAGAACTACACTATGATCCAGCAATTGCACTACTAGGTATTTACCCAAAAGATAGAAAAATACAGATTCGAAAGGGCACGTGCACCCCAATGTTTATAGCAACATTATCAACAATAGCCAAATTTTGGAAAGAGCTCAAATGTCCATCCACTGATGAATGGATAAAGAAGAGGTGCCATATATATATATATATATATTATTATATATATAAATATATATATTATTATATATAAATATATATATTATTATATATATTTATATTCTATATAAAATAGAATATTAGCCATCAAAAAGAATGAAATCTTGCCATTTAAAATGACATGGATGGAGGTAGAAGATATTCGGCTAAGCAAAGTAAATCAGTCATAGAAAGACAAAATATCATATGATTTCACTCACCTGTGCAATTTAAGAAAGCAAATAGATCAAATTAGGATAAAGAAAAAAACGAGAGGGAGGCAAACCATAAGAGGCTCTTAAATACAGAGAACAAACTGAGGTCAACTGAAGGAGAGATAGGCAGGGGGCTGGGCTAAATGGTTGATGGATATTAAGGAGGGCACTTGTGATGAGCACTGGCTGTTATATGTAATTGATGAATCACTAAATTCTACTCCTGAATCTAATATTACACTGTTTGGTAAGTAAAATTAAAATAAAACCTTGAAGCATGAAAAAAAATGGCTTTGTACAAATCAGGTTCTAGGTAATGTCCTTTTTAAAATACTTATTCTTTTGTGTTTTAAATATCTTTTCATCTAGTACAGTATTTTCCTAAAACCCCTTACTTTTTTCCAGATGAATGAAAATATAATAACATAAAATTGACATTAATGTATTTGCCCAACATAATTATAACTTCACATCACTGTTAGTGACACTTATCCAAATGTATACAAAATAGCATTTGCATTAGGAAACTGAGCTTGTTCTGAATATTTTAATTATTTACTGGCTATCAAAAATATATTTTAGCAATTTATAAACAACCGACATTATTTGGATTTCAACATTAGGATGAAATCCGTCTTCAATTTTCACATCAGTTGAATTTCCTCATGACCTTCATTAAGTAAGTATAACACAAAGACTATACCTGCTTGAAGGAAATCAGAGGCACCACAGAATCCCTGTTTATGACAATGTGTTCTTTCTTAACCAGGTGTTTTTTTTGTTTTTTTTTTAAATAACTCTTTCTAACAAGAGCCAAAGACCTAAAATATCTCTCAGGGGTTGTTCAAAAATATGTGAGAAGATTCCAAGTAAGATCATATAGGAAACTCCTAACAGAAATAGAGACTCTGGATTTTCTGTTGATTATATAGTGGTAAACGCCATTGTAGATCTAACAAAATTATTATTCTTCATGAAACAAATCCGGTTTGGTTATATGGAGGTACTATGTCAATGTGGTAAGTACGAAGTTATTCCATTTCCTATAAGGGTGAGAATTACCAATCATTTCAGAGATGCTCAGTATCAGTTAAATGGAAAGTTTTACATGTAAAATTCAATAGTTTAGAGTTTTTATTTTGATATTTAAATAATAGAAGATACCTTTATTTTTTATTATGTTGAGAGAGAGACAGCTCAAGGAGGGCCGGGGAAGAGAGAGAGAGAGAGAGAGAGAGAGAGAGCGAGAGAGGAAGACAGAGAATCCCAAGCAGGTTCCACTCTGCTAGTGCAGAGCTGGGAATGGGGCTCAGTCCCAGGAACCTCACAACATGACCTGAGCTGAAACCAGGAGTCAGATGGCCCACCAGCTGGGTCACCCAGGCACCCATAGAAGTTATCTTTTTTCTTCATCTTCTATATTATAAGCAGACATTTTTGCCCAGACACTGTATTTTTGTATTTATTTTCTAAAAATAGCATCATCTCTTTGTTCAGATGAAAAACGTTTCATAGCTTTCATAATATAAAATGGTAATATCATGCATGGGTTTTCTATTCACAGAATGTTTTATAACTTCATTATACCTGATTATTTTTTAATGTTTTTATTTAATTCTGAGAGAGAGAGAGAGCAGCATGAGCAAGGGAGGGCCAAAGAGAGAGGGAGATACAGAATCTGAAGCAGGCTCCAGTCTCTGACCTAGCTGTCAGCACAGAGCCCGACACGGGGCTCGAACCCAGAAACCATGAGATCATGACCTGAGCTAAAGTCAGACGCTTAACCGACTGAGCTACCCAGGTGCCCCTCATTATAATTGATTATTAAATCCTCCAGGTTTCAAGGTGAATTGTCACCTTGTCTATTTAATACTAGATAAAATGCTATAACTTGGGAAATTGGATAAGAAAACTTATTGCTATTGAAAGAAGGGAGTGAGATCACATTTTCCCCCTGCCTTGACTTATTTTAATGGGATAGTTTGAGTTTTACTGAGATAGAATGGAAAATGTAAGCAGGTTAAATTAAAGAAAAAAAATCTATCTCAGTGGCAGCTATCAATCAATTAGATTGCCAGACCAACTTTTCAACCTTCAGGCAGATTTATGAATACAGCTTAAAGTGGACAGTGCTTGAGCAGAAGTTTCTAATTATGGCATTCAAATTATTGCTGAGCTGCAAAATAGAATAATTAAATGTATACTGTTGTTCCATTTTTATGGATGCAAAAGTTATATCCCTTCTTTAGCAATTATGTGAGAAAATGTTATTTTAAATGTAAAACTTTGTTTTGTTTCTTGATCTTTAGGAATATGTAAGATACCTAACACGTAAAAAGATTATAAAAAGCATACAATTTTTGTTTGCAACTACTGTTTCCTCTGAAGAATACCAGTTGGAATCAAATGAACAGAATGAATTATTGCTTATTGCTGCCTTTTATGTTGGGAATTCCTCTCCTATGGCCTTGCTTTATGGCAACAGAAATCTCTCGAACAGAGGAAGTGAAGCACCCAGTGAATTCTCACTTGAGAGCAAAGCGTGGTTGGATGTGGAACCAGTTTTTTGTACCAGAGGAAATGAATAAGACTAAGTATCACATCGGCCAGGTACTGATTTTATCAGTGTTACATGAAATAACATTATATGAATCTGAATGGATGGGTTGAAGAAGCTTTAAGGCACTTGATAAATTGTACATTTTCTCAGTGGAGCCCTTAGAAAGTTTTAGACATCAGCCTAATTAATTATTTCTGATTTTCAAGCACCTAAAACACCTGCAAAACTTGAGGAAGAAGGAAAACTCTGATTTTCAGATTTTACTTTTGTCCCCCGTGTGAAAATAGGACCCTCACTTATCAACATCTGGAAATTCGATGGTGTTATTTTTGGTAACGGATCAAAGCAACCACACTGAGAATAATAACGTTTACCCAGAGTATTTAGCTTGATTTTCTATTATGCTCAGTAGGTGTTGATTTACCCATCATTAATTTTTCATGAAGCAGATTAATACCAAACCCTTTTACAATTAAGTACTTTCAAAAGCATATACACTTGATTTGATTAGGAAGTATGGAGAATATTTTTACTTTCTTATAAGAATATACATATATATATTAATTTCCTTAATGAGATAGACCATTCCCTATTTATGTTTTTGGTTTTTATTTTTATTCACTATTCTCTAAACAGAGGTAATTACAATACCAGTGTCCTTTTTCTGTAAGGATCTTTCTCTAGACAAGTGAACTGAAATAAGTTTAACCGCTAATTAACTGGCACTAAAATTTAATTGGGCCCAAAGGGTGAAGCACTCAAAATTCATTAACTCCCTTTTCCTAGCCCTTTCAGGCAAGCTTCCGTGTTAGCATGATGTCCAGATTCCAAAGGAGTTCATCTGTCACATCCAGTGAGTGTGTATGTGTATACTCTACCAGAGGCTTAGATTAGGATCTTATGCAAACAGATTTCAAATGTTTGTGTATGTATGTGTTCCTGCTGTGAGTCAGATTTCTCATCTCTTGATTCTCTAAGATGACTGCAGGTAAATCACAGGCAGAATGGCATAAATGAGGTCCATAGTTAAGTGTCTGCTAGTTAACTGGGTCTCTAGCCACATTTGCAGTGAACTCCACCGAGCAGCATATGCTCTGCCATCAGTGAGTGGGGTGACAGATTAACACAGACTGGTAACTTCCAGTGAATAAGACTCTGCAGGGAAGTGCATCAGTACAATCAGAGCAGAGATTACCTCTCTGGCTAACCGACACATTTTCTAGTTTGTGTTTTTGTGCTCCTGGCTCAGCTCCTGTCTCTTCCGTTCACATGATGATTGGTTTTGCTTATTTTTTCATTCCATAAAAATACTTATGAAAATATTCCAACAGATGTTTTCCCTTGAAACGCTGTCATTCGACTTAAATAACACACAGATAACTGGTTTAAAAGAGAGTAATAATGAATATTTAGGTGTTGTAATTAAAGAGCTGGTAAAAATAAAATGTAGCTGATGTGTCCAAGATAACTTTCTTTTTGAACTATTTGTTAACAGAGAGTAAGTTTGGAAAGCAATTAAGTAAATTTTAATAGCATACTGATTTACCAAATTAATAATGATTTCCTAATTGAAAAAAAGAGTAGAAATATATAAAATATCATGACATGAGAATTCATGCAATTGAAATATATTTAACTTATGTATTTTGTGACATTAAAAGGAAAATGTTTAATATGTATTCATGTATATTTAAGTAAATATATATATTAATTTTTATTTTTTTACCTAATTCTGGGTCCTTGAAAAGACCAAGCTCACTGATAGATGAAAATTATACTGGACATATACTTGGAAAACATTTACTCATTACTAAATTTTACTTATCATCATTCTATTATTGAATCAAATTTTCAAATTATATCAAAATTACATTTTAAAATCATAGGCCATATATACCTTTCCTTTGATATAATTATTGGAAAGGGCATTTGTTTCCTTTAATTTTGTATTAGTAAGGCATGAAGACTTCCTTTTTATCTTATGAGTAATGAAGAACCATCACATTAAAAGAGCTATAACTCTTTTATTATCTTATTATTACTATTCCCAATCTGTTCCTTTCATTGAATAGCAGTGTTATTCAACACATTATTAAAATTATTATAATTAATTGTTTCAGATATCTTCAGGTACTCTACCCAGTCACATAGAAAAATATTAGTTAGTCCATTGTACCATGAGCTGTCAGAAAAGCTATGAATTTGTTTAAGATTGTATTTCTTGGTTAGCTTTGTAAATTTTCAGAGAAGCTCTTACTTTGAAGAAGGGCACATTTGTAAATGATAAATCAAGAAAACCAAGGGCTCACAATAATTCGAGGATTAGAGCATACTTCTCTTTATGTAAAAATAATTTAGATCTGAACAAGCAACCAACCAATGTTACCTCTATCATAATAACCCTTGTTTTTATATATCAAATTCAAAAGTCCATCAACATTATGAATGAACAAATTCACTTTGCTTTTAAACATAAAAATAATTAGGGTCCAAAAAGAAAAGATATATTTGAGAATTGAATAGAATATGTTGGGAAGAAAGAGTTAGATCTAACTTGGCAAAACTCAAGGCATTAAAGACCATGTTACCTAGTGGTTTGCAGGGGGGCTCTGGGGTCGATAGACCTGTTGTCTAAATCATAAACCTATATAAAAACCATGACTTTGTGAAAGTTTAAAAATTTTTCAGTCTCTCTTCCTCTGTAGAAATGATAATGTCAATAATATATATCTCATGATACTGTGGGTATTAATTGGGAAATCATATACAGAACAATTTGTACATTTTATAGTGTGTTATAAATACCAAAATGTATGGCTAAGCTATCATTTTCTTCTCAACACGTTCCCTTGTTTTTTGGTAATATTTTCATATTTCCTATGTGTTTTTAACCTAGAGAGAGAATATCACTGTTTATCTAGATTATTATCTGCCTATCAGTCTCTAGGTCCCAATCTAATACAAATATTTGAGAGCATGGTTTTAGCGACTAAGAATGTAATCATAGAGTAAACATGAACCACCAACTTTGGTGTGCATAATTTATGAGAGGTACTTTGTTTTTCAATTATTAGTTTCTAATTAGAATAATCTATTTAGAGTAATAAAATTTGTATAGTGATTTGTACTGAAATATCACACTCCTCTGCTGATGACAGACTTTAATCTTAAAATTAATATTTCACTGATTTAATATACTATGGGAATTACATGAGGTAATTAACATGGGGAAAAATTAACAGACGTGAAAATAAAATCATTAAAATTGATTTGTCCGTTTAAATATGTCTGGGAACTAAATTATCCCTCTTTGCACTTGCAGCTAAGATCTGATTTAGACAATGGAAACAATTCTTTCCAGTACAAGCTTTTGGGCGCTGGAGCTGGAAGTATTTTTGTCATTGATGAGAGAACAGGTGACCTATATGCTGCGCAGAAGCTTGATAGAGAAGAACAATCCCTCTACACTCTAAGGGCCCAGGTAATAGACAGCAGTACTGGAAGGGCTGTGGAACCCGAGTCTGAGTTTGTCATCAGAGTGTCGGATATCAATGACAATGAACCAAAATTCCTAGATGAACCCTATGAGGCCATTGTACCCGAGATGTCTCCAGAAGGTATTGCATATTCATTTACATCAAAGATATATTAACAATCACAGCAGATTTAAAATCTTGAGCATATGTTTTAGAAGTGAATTATTTAAGGTTCAACACTCGTACTTCCTTCTACAAACATGTTGAGTAAAATATTTTTAAAAATTAGACTATTATTTTAATTTTGTAAACAAATGGTACTATATGTTAATACATTGGTTGTCTTGTTAAAATATCTGTCTTCAAGGCAATAGATGAAGAGGATTAAATGTGTTTTTTTAGTGATTTATAAAATTCTTTAGCTGATTTACTGACTAGTTTCTTCGTTATAAGAAGGTATTTTCCAAACCAAGATATAATTTTGTATCTAAAAAGCATACAAAGTCATCCAGGAAGATATGCATGTATAAATAGTAGAATCCAAATACAAGACAAAAGTACTAGATGCTAGTACTAGATACAAAAGATACTTCAGAATCATGGACATAAAGACTAAAAACAAAACAAAGGGGTCAAACACCTCTGTGCAACTGTATTCATTTTCAAATTTCCTTTCATACCTAATGTTATTTTTATAAATATCTTAAACATAATGCATGTAGAAGCAAGTGCTTTCCATAAGATATAAGAACTGACTGCATTGAAAATCAGAAATTTCTTTTTAAAAGAGGGGAAATTATGGTGAGACTGTGCAAAGTTTGTCCACTCATTGATTCAGTCAGAAAATGTTGATAGCATAATATATAACAAAATTCAACTCATAAAATTTACTTAAGTGTGATAAATTCTATTCAGTAACGGTTATTTTAAATTATACTAACCTGCTTTAAAATGATTTACCTAAACATCTGATTGATTAGTCAAGAAGTCTAAAAATATATGTTCTATTGTATATTTTCCTGATTCTTTGTTTTTTAACATTCCAGGAAGCAATTTAAACTACGTGTATTCAGAAAATAGGTCTTTATAGCATAAACAAATTTAGCTGTGAATATGTATCAAGACCAATTATTATTAGATGTAAATGACACATGAATATTGTTGTATTTGGTCGGTAGGCAGTGAAGCGTTTCATCTTCCCACTCCATCCTCCTTCTATTCCTCCTCTTTCTTAAACAGCATACATTATGGACCTAACATTTACTAGAAAAATTTTTGAAATGTAATTTTGGTGGTAATTGCTAGTATGAAACTAATATTTTAGTTCTAACACAGCGAACAGTAACTATTTTAAATGAGGTGATATTTGACTCTGTACATTATGAAAGTGTTAATTATGACTGAAATATGATTAATTGACGATTAATTGACTGGAGAAAGTGGGACATTTTAGGAAATGATATTTGAAGTGGATTACAAAGAGTCCAGATATGTCATATTCTAGGAAAAGAGTCACACTGCAGTAGGATGAGAATTCCATATATTAATATGCAATTGAGTTATTGATCTAGCAAGAGTGTAAGCATGACAATGGATGAGATCCCCTTGAAAAGGAATGTAAGTAGAGAAGAGAAAAGCATAACAGTTGAGCTGTTGAGCAAAAGGTGGTTGACTGGGAAATTAGAATGAATGAGATTGGCCAGTGATGTAGGAAAAAGAGAAAGACACGAGAAGATGTGTCACAAAGGAAGAGATCCTCCAACTGTGTGGAATGTTGTGAGGCTGAATAAAATCAATAAAGTGTAGTGACCATAGTGGCTTTTGATTTGGGAAATAGAAGGCTTCTAGTGATTTTGGTAAGAAGAATTTGGTTGAATGTATGCAACTGCAATATTTTGAAGATTATTCTATTGTGTGAATGAATGGAGAAGAGGAAGTTACAGTGAATTTAGCCAACTTTAAAAGATGTTTTGTTACAGGGAGAAAATAGAGATGGGAAGCACTAGGTAGAGGAAGATGAAGGTAAAGAGGATTTTGTTGTTGTTACTTATCATTATTTAATTATTTATTAAGATGGGAAATTTAATATCATAGTGATATACTATAGGGAATGATCCAAAAGAACAGAATTTTTGGAACAAAATAAGGGGGTTATAACTGCTGGAAACCTATTCTCTCTCTCTCTCTCTCTCTTTTTATGTTTTCTTATTTATTTTGAGAGAAAGAGAGCATGGAGGAGGGACAGAGAAAGAGAGAGAGAAAGAGAGAGAGAGAGAGAAAGAGAGAGAAAGAAAAAGAGAGAGAGAAAGAGAGAGAGAGAGAATCCCACCTGTGCTGTCAGCACAACATCTGATGCAGGGCTCTATCCCATGAACCATGAGATCATGACCTGAGCCTAAATGAAAAGTCAGATGCTTAATAGACTGAGATACTCAGGTGCCCCTGGAAAACTATTCTTGGGAAAGGAAAGACCATGGAACCTAGGGCAATAATAGAGGAGACAGATTTAAATAGGTTAACACATTCTTTGACATTAAACCAGTTAATAAGTAATTGTTTCTATCTGTTAAGTATGAGAGAAAGTCAATAATTGAGAGCAAAGGGTTAGATTTTTAGATAGAGAAGTGGAGGTACAAAAAAGACATTTTGTAGAGTTGGAAAGTTGGCCCACAAAGATATTGCAGGGTGTGCATACAGTATTTGCACATTGGCATCAAGTGTAGCCACACAAGACTGATTGATTCAACAGAGATCACAAAACATTGGTTTGTTCTATATGGTGTTTTGCTCGTGCAGATCTCTTTGTTTTGCAACTCAAGATTGATGTACATATTAACTTAGTTAATGTCTGTAAGTCAGTATATCCTTTGAGAGTGCCAGTCAGGGTTCAGAACCTATATGGAATCATATTAAAATCAATGAGCACTTTTTATTACTTTCTGTGGGAGGAAAAGATAAAGAGAACAACTTATCAGGAATGTTATCTACTATGGAGATAGAGGAATATCCTCATTGTTCTGTCAACTATTGTGTAGATGGTTTCCCTCTAAATAATTCCTATAATTATTAACTTTGCTTTGAAGAAACCACTTAGTGGTATATGCAATTTTTTCTGTTTTCCTCAATCTCAGTACTTAAATAATGAATAAATCAAATTATCTTTACCTGAACATATACTTAGTTCTTCATATTCTTCCCATATCATTGCATTGTTATAGGTTCTTGAGTTTTAATCTTGCTTCTAAATTCCCTATGACCTATTTAATTCTTTACAAAGCAACAAGTGCAAACATTTTATTCTCTGTTGTCTTAAGTATTTTGTATTGTATTATAGTCAATTACCAATTATTATATTTGCATCTGTACTTTGAATTTAGAATTTGGTAAAGTACTGAAAGAAATCTATGTTTGAGTATGTCATCATAATCGAAAACCAAGAAAACTACAAACTATTTGTTGCTTATTAAACACATATTTATTTACAACTAATAGTGGACTTTTACTGATTGCATTTCTATTTGAAATGCAATTTCTATTTGAAATGCATTTCTATTTGAAATGCAATTAATTTCAAAACTAGAACTAACTAGTAGAATTGAGAAAAAACATTGTTTTTCTACTTGTAAGTCTGGAATTACAAAATTATTTATCTTTCTTCCAAACAAAAAATACAAGGTCTAATAGGCTAAGAATCCCACAGTACCTTAAGTGTGGGGTGATTGAGTAAAAGAATGAGTACATGGATGGGTGAAAAAGCTACAGAAATGATTAGATGAGGTTTGGAATACAAACAGAGGATACTGGTAGATATAAAATCCAAGGAGACTCTGTGGGTCTGAGTTGAGGTACACAATGATCAAAAGTGCTGTAGATAGCCTTTGGATAATGATTACTCAATTTTGAAATTTCTTAGTGCAGATTTTCTAGAATCATACAACCTATCAAGACAGAATCATAAGAAACATAAAATCAGGGGCGCCTGGATGGTTAAGTCAGTTAAGTGTCCAGCTCTTGATTTTGGCTCACATCATGATCTCAAGATTATAGGATCAAACCCTGTGTTGGACTCTACGATGGGTGTGGAGACTGCTTAAGATTCTCTCTCTCTCTCTCTCTCTCTCTCTCTCATTTTACCCCTCGCCTACTCACTCCTACTCTCTCACCAAAAGAAAAAAAAAAAAAGAAAAGAAATAAAGAAAATAAAAACAGAAAATCAGAGAAAAACAATTATTAGTAAGACTGGATCAGTAACTAAAAACATCCCAACAAACAAAAGTCCAGCTCCAGTTGGCTTCACTGATAAGTTCTACCAAACATTTTAATGAGGAATTAATACCAGTCCTTCTCAAACTTTTACAAAAATTTGAAGAGGAGGGAATACTCCCAAACTCATTTTACAAGGGTGGCATTGCCCTGATTCCAAAACCATATAAGGACACCACAGGAGGGGCACCTGGGTGGCTTACTCGGTTAAGCGTCCGACTTTTGCTTTGGTCATGATCTCGTTGTTTTGTGGGTTCGAGCCCCGTGTCTGGCTCTGTGCTGACTGCCAGCTCAGAGCCTGGAGCCTGTTTCAGTCTGTCACTCCCTCTCTCTCTGACCCTCCCCTGCTCACACTGTCTCTCTCTCTCTCCTAGAAATAAAAAAAAAAAAAAAAAAAGGACACCACAGGAAAACTACCTGTCAGTAGCTCAGGTGAACACAGATGCAACAATTGTCAACAAAATTCTAGCAAGCCCAATTCAACACATTAAAAAGATGATATACCACGATCAAGTGGGATTTGTCTCTGGGATGCAAGGATGGTTAAACAATAGCAAATCAAATATGATATATCACTTTAGTAGAATGAGGTATAAAGGTCATATAATCCTCTCAACAAATGCAGAAAAAAATTTGACAAAATTCAACATTTTTTCAGAATGAAAAACGCTCTCAACAAATCAGTTATAGAAAGAACATACCTGAACATAATAAAGGCCACATATGACAAAGCCCCAGTCAAAATCATACTCAATATTGCAACACTGAAATATTTTCCTCTAAGATCAGAAAGAAACACAAATATGCCTACTCTACCTTTTTTGACATTGTACTGGAAGTCCTGGCCAAAGCAATACTTTATACCTAAGTACACTCAG